GAAGTTTGGGTTTTGTTCATGAAGTCTCTGCCTACCCCTATGTCTTCAAAATGTCTACCTATTTTCTCTCCCAGTAGATTTATTGTTTCTATTTTAAATTTAGATCTTTGACCCATTTTGACTTTAGTGCATGGTGATAGACATGGGTCTAGTTTTAGCCCTTGGCATGTGAGTTTATCTTTAAAAAGGGAGAGAGCAGAAGGAGGTAACATGAGTTTATTTTGCATATAGCTGTTAGATCTGCAAGATACTTTGCCGTAATGAAAAGAATATAATATGTGTGTTATCCATGGATGGTCTTCTAATTATAATTCCTTTCTTTCAGGTCAAAAGAAGCGGCCAGTTCATTTCACTACAACAAGGAAGAAACAGAAGAGCAGTGTAATCAACGATTATGTCCCGTAGTTTGAATGATCTCAAATATTTTCACATGATCTCTATGTTAAATTGGAATCATCTAAATGTCTTAGATGAACTCAGACAGTAAAGTTGGCCTTGCAATCCCCCTCCAACAAGCAGCTGTACAACCCAGTGCGGCTCAGAATGCAGGGCCCTCTCCTATTTTTCTCGCCCCTCCTCCATGACCAGCAGAAGTCACTTTCTTCCCACACTGCCCATTTGCTTAGTTCTCAAGGTCCCTGCAAAGTCAGCTCTAAGCCTTGGAACCCATGTTATAGGCACAAAGTTGCCCCTCACCGCACCTAGATCTGCTCAGCCAGCTGATGGGTCAGGCAGGCAGCACAGTTTCAGGCTGTCTTGTGGACAGTGATGCTAATTTGTAGTGTGGAGAAAGAAAAGACCTGCTGGTGAGAGGCTGGGGATGATGCCTGCTCTGTGGGATCCTCAAGGTGCAGCAGAAGGAGGGACTGGGAGTCTCTGAGGTTAGGAGAGGCCAGAGGAGAAGAGCACGCACCTTGGGACCTTCATAAAAAGAACTAACATCTGATTTGCATCACTTAACCAATTAAGCGTTCCTCGTAAACATGATTATCAAAACAGAAGACCACAAGGGCCATTGGAGGGAATTACCAGGCCAACCTTGCTAGGAGTCCGTCCTAAAAGATGTCACAGAAAATCAGCATCCACTAAGGTTCTTGGTTAGGCCTTGGGGTGCCTGCTGAAACCCTGCTTTTCCCATCCCCAGGGCTCAGCTGCTTTGATGGGAGTAAGGGGTTGAAACCAGAACGACAGCAAACGTGGGAGTGACCTGCAGTCCCAGTCTAAGGCACATGGGCGGTATCTCGGGGGGTGTACTCGAAGGACAGGCAACTAACACATTTCCACAAGAAAAATTTTAAAATTCTTAAATCTTTCCTAAAACAAGCCTAGAAAATAGGGCTTGTGACATCTCCTTTCAGAAGGGATTACCTGTGCTTCTGCACAGCTATTCTTGCTGCTTGAGCTGGATCACAGGGACGGTCTGCCATATCTCGGGCGGAGTCACCCCAGGCTAACACTGCTGCTAAGGAACACACCTTTGGGACATGAAACATGGGCCAGAGCAACGAGCCCCACAGCTCAGTTTTATAATTTTTGAACCCAGTGGTCAGACATGAGGGGCGTACTAACCGGTGTTCAGGAACTGCTGTTGTATTTTCTAATCTCTATTCTTACAATAAATCTTGGTCTATCTTGGTGCATCCTGAAGTCCCTAGCATTCTGTGTCATGAGCAAAACCTGTAATACCAGCCTAAAGAACAAGCAAAGAAGAGGAACCATGTGCACCAGGCTTTAAGAAAGAAACAAGAAGAAACCAAGAAGAAGTAGGAGGAGCTCACTCGGCGTTCTGGGCACCCCAACGTGAAGGCAAAGGTTGCACTGCAAACTGCTGGCCATTTCCCTCTTCCTGCCAGTTGTTGCAGGACAAAGAAGGTAGGACATTTGTTTAGATTTTGCCAGTTCATATCCAGCACATAGGTACTCAGCTTAATGTACACTTAGATCTGGAGCTGTCGAGTTCCGGGGGTGGGGTGGGGGGAGACGCGCCAGACAGTGCCAGCAGGGGGCCGCTCTGATTGGTGGAGCGAGCAGGAGGCGCAGGCACGAGGGCAGCTGTACATTCTCCAGTAGGAGCGCTCAGAGGTGCAGGGTACAGCGAGCGGACAAGGGACAGGGAGAGGACGGTGTGCATTCCTCATGCTGTTCCGTCCCTCACGCCCAGCAAGGCAGTGCTGGGGCCAGGCCAGGACGGGTCTCTCTTCCAAGCTCAGAGCACACAGGGAGCTGGGGCAGGGGCAGGGGCAGGGGCAGCGGCAGGGGCGCTCCCTGGTCCTGTGACAACATGCACATCTACGTAGAGACCCCAGCCCTACCTCAGACACTGTCCTACCTGTCCCCACCCCCTGCAAGGGCTTCCTTTCCGCCTTGGGAGTATGAAATGTAGGCCCCTGCAGGGATTTAAGAAAACATACAAAGGTAGCCAGAGAGGCCCCTGTTTCTCCACAGCTTCTTGAGAGGTCAATTGTGTTAGTTTCCGGCCTTCATACTTACCTTAAGTAACCATCTCAGTCTTTGAAAAAGTTCTCTCCACGGTGAAAAAAAATCCACAATTTCCTATTTCACTTCCTAACAGCGACTGAGGACAGAAACTTTTGTGCAGTCCCGCCATAGTCACTCCAGACACGGGTGACCTCTGTTTTCAGTGGAGAACACAGCAGGACCCCCACGTCGTGCTGACCAGTGCAGCCTGCTGGTTTCCTGGCCAGGGTCTCTCTCTGACCTCTCGGTGCTCCTGTCTTCCTAGGTGAGAGCCTTACCTGCAGCCTTTTGTCTCCTGCTCCGTTACACCTCACTGGTTTTCATCTATCTGCACATAGTGATGCACCAGTGCGGCCAGCAGGAGGCGCGCTTCCGCCTCACTGAGTGTAACTGGATCTGGGCTAGGCGGGGAAGCAAACTGGGTGTAGGCTCTTAGCTCCTGGTTTGTCCTCCCCAGGACAGGTAGCCAGGCCTCCGGGCCCCTGCTTCTTCTGCTGAGAATGTGGCCACCTTGATCCCCAGCGATTTGGGCTCAAGGTCATTGCCCGCCTGAAGATTGCTGCGACTCAGGAGGCCAGTGGGGTCCTGAGAGGGGGCGACGGGAGATTAAGAAAAGACAAGACACATAATAAAAGGAAAGCTGGGACTGGGTGGGACCTGATCTCTCTGATGAAGAGCACGGTCTTTGTCTTTATTTATACATAGTAAAAAGGGGGCAAGCGCGCAACGGAGGAGCAAGGGCAAGATCTCAGTGTTTTGCTGAGAACATGGAGAGTGAAACATTTTCAGAGCTATCTGTGCTGTATTTAACAGGGAGGAACACCAAGGCGGGACACCTGCTGATATTCCACTGAGCTAGAGGTCAACTTATTTGCACAGTCTGCCTCCGGCAGCCCGTGTCCAGGGACTGGCTTTGCCTCAGTCCCAACAACCTGTTCACGGGGCTCGCCTCTGGCGCTCCATGTTCTCAGGGCTGGTCTTGCTGTAGCCCTGGATGTGCGGTCGGCCGATCTCCAGCTCAGCCGCTCCCCACAGAAGATGCTGAGTCACTGGAAGCCAAACACTGTCGTGGTCCCTGAGGAATGGCAGCGTCTCATCCCAGAGGCAGTGGGAGAAGAGTGCGCTCCTGCTGGGGCTGCCCATCTCCCAGGGACCAGACCCTGAGGGGTAGGATGGAGAGACCCGGCGCTCATGATGACTTTCTGTGAGAGGAGAATGATGCCACCCCTAGACACAGCCAATCAGTCCCAAGCTGGGCCCACCTCAGTTTTTTGAAGTAACCAGGAACATTAGAGGTTTCTCTCACTAATGCGCCAAGCCAGGCCAGCTAGGGCTCAGTTTCCTGCGTACTTCCTGGAACCAAGGCTAAAAGCTTCATCTCCATTTCTGGGCAGAGCTTCTGCCTGAATTCATACTTTCTCCCCTACAGTGCCAGCCCACCAGCCTAGATGGTCTCCCTGTCCGTCAGTCCTACAGTCCTGGATTTCCTCAGCTTTCCTCAGGCAAAGCAACTTCCCAGCCAGGCATCCTCACGTCTCCTCAGGCTTCAAATCCCATGTCCACAGCTGCCTGCCCCTTCACACTTGCCCCATGGAAGATGTCTCCAAGCACCTTCTGAGTCCAGAGCAACATGCAGAGCGGGGAAACGGGGGTCGCAATCGTCCTCCTGTGGTCTGCCTTCTTGCTGGGAATTTACATCTCCGGGGTCCACGCAGTTCTGCATTTGGCAGGGGGCTCCCCAGGGTGTCTCTTAGGATGTGCCATGTCTTTGGTGATCCTTCTCCAAAAGGAGACAGGGTGGCTGCAGACCAGCCTTCCAGGGCTGTCTCTCTCCCTGTGTGACCCCTTCTCCAGGCCTCTTATCTCTGCACCAACGGGCGGCCTTGAAGGTCAAAGACACCCATGAATGCCAATGGTTCCGAAGCTTAAACACAGGGAGACAAGCCCAGGCCTGAGGATTTGGAATTTGGCCTGGGGTTGGAGGGCCTGAGAAAGGTACCAAGGACCCTGGGACTATCCTTCCCCTTGCAAGTGTGTTTACTTATTTCAATAACCTAGAGAAATATACACACTTGCTGTGTTGCATTCCTAGTCCCCGGGACATTGAATGACAGACAGAGAGCCCAGAGAGCCCAAGGCTTTTTACATGCAGACAGCCTGGCCCTCTGCAGGAGCTGAGCATTGCAACTTTCCTTAAACTCAGTAGGTGCTTCATCCATCCCCCGCAAGACCACTGTGGGCACTGGACCAAACCCTACCCCCACCCCACCCCAGAACTGTCTACACACGTACAGGCCGCAGCGCGCATGCGCATCTGATCCTGAGCCCTATCCTCCCCAGGCCTGGGACCGTCGCAAGGAGGCGCCAGGCTGCAGACAGGAGGGGAACTGGGACCTACTGGAAGAGTGACTGGAATCCGAGTTTACCACCCCTGCCCCGCAGCCGACAACCTCTGAGAGGGAGCCTCACTGATCAAAAGGAGGAACTACAGGGAAGACCAGACGAGGGACCAGGCTGATGGAAAGGCCAGGCGAAGCCCAGCGGTCGGAGACTCAGACACCCGCGGGCTGACCGTGCAGTGGATACCGCCCCTCCTGGACCCGCGCCTTGCCCAGCGCAGCACCGCCAAGTAGGCCCCTCTCCAGCTTCCAGCCAGACACCACCGCCTTCCGGCCCATCCATCAGGGCCAGGGCAGCCTTTCAGGGTTCGGTTTGCACAGCTGCGTAGAGGCCCTGGTCTGCTGACACCGCCGCCCAGGGCGGCCAGGCCGGCTGCACCTGCGCCGCTCTCCCGGCCCAGGCGCTCCGCGGTCCGTCCTCCAGCGCCCTCCAGCGGAGCACAGCGGGCACTGCGGGCCCAAAGGTCAGCAGTGTCTTAGCTCAGCCAAGGTCACGCTCCTGGATTTTTCCTACACACCCAAAGCCCTCCGTATTCTAAATACACGCCCCACGGGGGTCGCCACCTCCCGGGCATCTGCTCCCTAGCTCGTTCATTGTGACTCCCAGATGCCCGTCTTGGCCACCAGCCAACGCAGCCTTGGTATCCCCGCCCCATGCTCAGACCACCAGGCTGCACCCACGCCCTCTCCCATCCCCTTCAAAGTGAAACACTTTTCAGGAAGGGCCGCTTCACAGAGTAGACTGCGCCCCAGTCTCCCGGCCCTCGCCTCTGTGACTCCACTTCAGCTTGGAAATTCGCCCGTCTGCGGGCATCACTCCTGCGGTGTCGGCAGAGGGCGCTGTTTTCATGTTTTGCTGCCCTTTTCACCCTTTCACCTGAGTTCAGAAAGCCTGAGCAAAAACTGATGCCCAGCACAGGCTCCCAGGAAAAGTGTGTGGAAACTGATTTCATTTTCAGAAACCTGCTCAGTCTAAAACCGCCCTGTGCTTACAGTCCACCGTTCTTTGAGCCTCCCAAAATGAAAGCTACCCTGTCACAGGCCATTGGGTTTCGCAAAGCATAGGCACAGTGAGAGCTAGGGAAATATGCATAAATAAATTCTACTGGAATCTAGCAAATATTCTTGCTGCTACCTGGTGCATTTCCCAACCAAGAGTAAATCCTGAGAGCATTTTCATTTGATATTTGGTCTCTGCTTGAACTGGGAAAGGAAACTGCTGGGGTACAGATTCCTCTCCCTCTGTTTGGTAAACAAAATCGATTTTCAGATAAAGGAGCCCTGTGAGCCCGAGAAAGGTGATGCGAGGGAGGCACCACCTCCCTGCAAAATTTAAAGAAGCACCAAAAATCTCAAGAATCCGAATTTATATTTTAGCTGTGATGTTTGAAAGATAAAAAATGAACACAAAAATCCATGATGAATAAAAAACATTGGGCCAGAAACAGTGAAGCAACTGCGTCCCCTGTAAATGCCGCCTCTATAATGTCCTCATTTATAATGTTGATGTTTTATGCATGAATGTGTGCACTGATTTTCATTTTTTAAATGTTGCTGCATTGGCTCGGGCAGCCATAACAAAATTCCATAGAATGAATGGCTATACTTTCCAATATCTCCACAGGCTGGGAAGTCCAAGACCAAGCTGCCCACCCACTGGGCTCCTAGTGAGGGTGTTCTTCCTACTTTATAGATGGCTGCCTTCTTACGGTGACTGTAGGGGGCAATGAATCTTAGCATATTATTTTAGATAAAATAGTTTTAGTAAAAGCCTAAGCGGTGCCTTGGGAAGCCTCCCAGGACAGTGTAAGAGCTAATTCCCTAGATCAACTCTGCCCACGAATGTCCCCCCAAGATAAGGGGCTCCTAGGCCTAGGTAACCCTCCATGGCCCTGCCTGGGCAGTTCCATCTCCTGGCCCTAGGTAAACATTGTAACCCTAAAGGAATGCATAGGCTATAAAAAAGGAGACAAATGGAACATAATGGGAGAAACATCTATCATGGTTAGACATGCGACCTGCAACTGACTTGGGGCCCCACAGGATGAGAGAAAGACCATATGGCCACCGGGGTCAGAGAATGTAACATCCCAATCTGTTACCACGGAAACCAAAAATGTATATAAGGTGGAACGAAGTTGGCCATTTGCCCACTTCCCTGATTGGCAACTGGAAGGAAGGGTGGCTAGCCTCAAAATTAAACTCTGAGTTTCTTCTCAATGGACTCAGGTCTCTTGTGGAATACAGCCCAACTTATGCCAGGGGATTTCTGCCGTAACATGCCCTCATATGGCAGAGAGACAGCAGCAGCAAACTCAGGGCTGTCTCTTCTTATAAGGGCACCAATCCCATCACTACTCTGTGACCTCCCCTAAATCTAATGATGCCTCAAGGACCCTACATCCAAATGTCATCACCCTAGAGGGAAGAACTCTAATGTCTGAATTTGTGTTGAGAGATGCAATTCAATCCATAGTAAGTGTGTTAATGCATTCTTTACCTTAATTACTGTGGTAGTCAAAGTTCACCAGAGAAACCCACTGATAAGACATATATAGATATAGATATAAATATATAGATATAGATATAATTTATCACAATTATTTTATATTTACTGTGAGATATTGGCTTGCAAAATTACAGAGGCTGAGAAGTCCCACAATCTGCAAGCTGGAGACCTAGGAAACTGGTGGCGTAGCTTGAAGACCTGAGCACCACAGAGCCAATCATACATACTGCTGTCCAATTCTGAAGGCCTGAAAATCAGAAGACCCAAAAGGAAGAAAAAACTAATGTCCCAGCTCAAGCAGTCAGGCAGAGAAAGGGTAAATCCAACCTTTCCCAACCTCTTTGTTCAGTGGGCCTCTGCACCATCAGCTTTACCCAGTCCACCAATCCAAGTGCTCACCACTTTCAGAATCACCATTATACAGTATATCCTCGCTAGTATAAGGGTTCTTTCACTCAGTATAATGTTTTTGAGGTTTACCTGTCTGGTTCCATGAGCCAGGCTGCTTTTCCTCCCAGTTTTTCTTGCTGAATAGCATTCCACTGCAGGAATATACCACAGTTATTTGTCAGTTATATTTTTGATAGGCACTCAGGTTCTGTTCAATTATTTTTTAATTTTTTAAATTCAAGTACTAGGAATTTCATCTTTTATTATGAGTAAGACCATACATTTTCATTTTTAACCCACTTTAATTTTTTTAGAAAATTTTATATATATACATATATATATATATACTCACAACCTTTGTGTAATAATTTATTGGAATTTCAAAGATTTTATTATACATCTGAGGGCCTTTTTAATAGTAAAGATATTACCTTCATAACTATCTTATTGTTTGATATTTTGCTAACTTTTAGTTAGCCAATAATGTTCAATTTTCAAAATTTACTTTTAAAATAAGGGTTCCTTTTATAATATACTCTAAAATAATCCAGGAGGGTTAATTATATATATTTTAAACAAACTATTATTCTCTGAAAATTTAATACTGCTATTGTCATAATACTCATACATGCAATCATACACACAAAAATTTACAGAGAGAAAATGGATGGCTTAAATTTGATTTTAAATAAACCAACAGCTAACATCATATTACATGGTCAAAGGCTGAAAATTTTCACTTTAAAATCAAGAACAAGACAAAGATGTCCATTATCACCACTTCTGTTCAATATAGTTCTGGAAATATTAGAGCAATTAGACAAGAGAAAAAAATAAAAAATAAAGATAAGCAAGGAAGAAGTTAAATTATCATTATTCACAGATCACATGATACTCTACATAGAAGCCCCAAAACCTCCACCAAAAAACTTGTAGATTTAATATCCAAATTCAGTAGTGTAGTGGGATACAAAGTCAACACTCAAAAATCAATAGCATTCCTGTACACAAGTAACAAACTCACAGAGAAATTAGGGAAAGCACACACTTCACATAGCATCTAAAAACATGAAATACTTAGGAATTAATCTAACATAGGATGCAAAATATCTGTACAGTAAAAATTACAGTACCCTAAAAAAGGAGATAAAAGAGGATAACAGAAAGTGGAAAGCTATCCCTTGCTCTTGGCTAGAACCAACATTGTAAAAATGGCCATACTTCCAAAACTGCTATACAGATTGAATGCAATCCCAGTCAAAATACCATGAGTATACTTCACAGAACTAGAGAAAACATTCATAAAATTCATTTGGAACCAGAAGAGACCTAGAACAGCAAAAGCAATTCTGGGCAACAAAGGCAAGGCAGGGGGCACCACAACCCCAGACCTGAAATTACACTACAAAGCTACTGTGAAAAAATCAATGTGGTATTGGAAAAAAAGGAAAAAAAAATGCCAGAGGATCAGTGGGACAGAATAGAAGATGCAGACACAGCCCCAAACACATTCAGCCACCTTATCTTTGACAAAGGGACCAAACATGTTCACTGGAAGAAAGTCTCTTTAATAAATGGTGCTGGAAAAACTGGCTTTTCACATGCTAAAGGCTAAAACTAGACACATGTCTATCACCATGCACTAAACTAAAGTCATAATGGATCAAAGATCCAAATATTAAAACACAAACATTAAATTTACTGGAAGAGAAAACAGGTAGAAATCGTGAAGATATAGGTGTAGGTAGAGACTTCATTAAAAAAAAAAACCCAGACTGCAAGGGAAATACTACAAAGAATCAACAAATGGGATCTCAGCTTATTAAAAAGCTTTTGCACAACAAAATAAATCACCAACACAGTGAAAAAATAACCCACAGAGTGGGAAAAAATATTGTCATCTGTCCCTCAAGGAATTTACATCTGAAACATATAAAGAATTGAAAAAAAATCAGATGCCCCCAAACTCAAACACCCAATCCCAAAATGGACATCTGAGATGAATAAGCACTTCTCAGATGAAGAAATACAAGTGGCAAATAAATATATTAAAAAAGTTCAACAACCTTGGTCATTTGAGAGATGAAAATTAAAACACCAAGATTCCAACTCACTCCAGAGAGATTGGCTACCATTCAGAAATCAACCAATAACAAATGCTGGCAGGACTGTGGGGAAAAAGGAACGCTTCTCCATTGTTGGTGGGAGTATAGACTGGTGCAACCACTGTGGAAATCAGTGTGGTGATTCCATAAAAATCTGGGATTAGAGGTCCTGTTTAATGCAGCTATTCCCCTTCTGAGTATCTTCCCAGAAGAGTTAGAAACATCCTACCACAGCAATACATGTGCACCCATGTTTATAGAAGCACAATTTGTAATAGCTAAATCTTGGAAACAATCCAAATGTCCATCAACCGAGAAAAGGATATGACAGATGTGGGTTTTTTTATAATGGAGTACTATTCAGCCATAAAGAAGGATAAACTTGAGACCTTTATAGGTAAATGGATTCCACTTGAGACCATCCTCATAAGAGAAATAAACCAGACACATATGTGTAAACATCATATTGTCCCACTAGCATGAGAAGCTGAACAAGTAAATAAAATCCAAAATGTACAATAGATATTGTGAACTGGGAAAAAATTGTTCAAAAGAAAAGACCAACTGTGATGGGAAAAGGGAAAAAGAAGAAAAGGAAAAATAAAAAATACATTTATACACAAGATAGTTATACAGCTAATTGCTCTTAGTTCATTGAAAAGAAAGGTTTGTGCTAACATTGTTTGGACAATTTTTCATGTTTGCATCTTCTACACTGAATAACTCCTATAAAAACAGCAATACACAATGTACTAATTATTGTAGCTCTCCTACTAACCTGTTTTGAAACTGTTTTATTTTTATTTTTTAAATTAAAAAAGTAATGAATTTGATTTTAAATGAATATATAAGTTCTTGGTCATTACTAGATTCATAGCTGAGAGCTTAGGATGAAGTTCTGAAATTGAATAATAAATCTTGTAGCCAAAATGTACTTTTTCAAAGTTTTCATTTGCCCTAGGATAATAGTACAGAAAAACTGCATCAGAGCTTAGGTTAAAATACTGCTTTTGGAGCAATCCATGTACAAGCAAGACAATATTTTTTACTCTAGATATTTCTATGTTGGCAGTGTTTTAAAATCCCTAATTAACTGGAGTGCTCCAAACTGGACAAAGATTATGGTTTTCAAAGGAGAGTGCCAGAAGTCTTCTATTATTTCATGAAAAAGCAGAAAGGAAAGGAAATGATTGTTAGCCTGCTGTATATTAGGATACTATCAAAGGGTTCTACAGCCCTTACGTTTGGGTGGTTGGGAACCTCAAATCCAGGCAGAAGGTACCCAAATGGGGATCCTACTTAATGGTCTGGCAGTGATTAACTAATGTTTGAAATCTACACCATGAAAACTATTTCAGACAAACAAAATCCTGTAGGAAGGCAGGATGCTCATTATAACACTATTAGCCTTACTACAAACAAATGCAAAGAAAATTTTGAAAGTCTGACTGTGTATCTAATTGTAAGATTATATGATAAAAATGACACACAAAAATGAAAAGTTATCAAACTAAGACTTGAGACCAAAAATGAGATACCAGACTTCTACGAATTCTTAAACTTGAATTTATTAATAATGTTACCAATTTATCTAAATCTACAAATCAACATTTGTACAATTCCAGCATAGGTTTTTGTTTTTGTTTTTTCAAAAATGGGTTCCTCAGATATATTTCTGCCGTTTGTGTTAGGATATTTAGCTCTCCAGGGTAATGGCTGTGTTCAAAGGAAAATATAGCCAGGTCTTTCTGCTTGGAACAAACTGATTTATAATGGAAGGCACAAAATGGTAGAACAGAAATGATCCAAGATACTAGGTGGGCAACTTCCAGTTTTGCAGCCAAAATTATGTATTTGTCTATTAATTTCAGAATAAATCCCACAAAACTCTAAATGATTAAAGCAATATAGAAAACTTGATGAGGAGAAAATTTCTCAGTTCATTTTATTGTGTTGACAAATCTGCTTAAACAAATCAATCCACTTTGCTTAAATTGGGACGGACCCATCTCTGACTTGACTTCAGATAGGAGAGCAGCAAAGGATGCTGTTCCAGGTCATCACTCACTCTCACGCAGCTGTCACAGTCTGGGCAAATGGGAAGCGCACAAGAGTCCAGGAATCCACACGCTGTGTACTTGTTTCCCCCACCAACTTAACGCGTGACCTTGAGCGAGTCACTTGTTCACTTAAGGCCTCTCAGCCTTCACTCTTGAAGAGAGCTTTTGGGTTAAGTGCTTCTGAATGTTCCTTCCAAATTTAGAATTCTATAAAGTTGCCTAACTGTTGTGCTATGCTAACCCTACACGATTTATTAAACCAGGTCATTTTATGCCTTCCAGAAGTACAGCTGAGATGTGCAAAGATGTATCACTGCAGTGTGAGGGATAATGAGGACAACTACTGTTTCATTCCCTAAAGAGGAGAGGTAAGCAATTTTCAGCCAAGACCGAGGAAGGAGCGGAGGAGCAGGGAAGGAGGGGAGGAGCACGAAGTCTTACAGTCCAAGTTTCAGTAAGACTTAGTGTTGCTTACTTAAAGTAGGCCTACACTGTATCTGGCGCCTTGCTTCCCTGAGAAGATTGCCTGTGGCTAACACCATGTCTTGCTTCCCATCACTATTATCTGCTCAGTCCATCTGAAGTAAAGCATGTCACCCTAAGGAGTCTTGACAGTGGATTATTCTAAACCCATCCAGTCAACCAACCACCACATAAACAGCCTAAGCATGGACCGGGGTGTTGGAGTTCATGAGAAGATTAAAATGGGGCTCCTTCCTCCAGAAGCCAGGGTCATCATCCTCAGGAAATGACTAATGAAAAAAGAAGGCAAGAAAAGTGAAACTGAATGCTGAGCTGCTTTCTAAGACAGGTAAATGCTAAAAGATATCAGAGATGGCCCCTGGCAGGGGTAGCCTGGAGCAGGCCTGAGAAGGATGGGTGTGAGGACAGGCCAGAAGTAGGAAGCCAGGTTTTCCGGTGGGAAGTCTTCCTGACCCCCAACTCCAGCGGGCCCAGAATTTTCTCCACTCCTACCCTCATGCTACAAATTCTGGTCTCCAAAATTCCAGAGAAATAAACATTCTGTGCCACCAGGCACCTACAAATGTGCTTTCAGAAAAGCAGAAGATATTTTCAAAGTTGTTGAGGTAAATGACCTGAGTATGATGCCCCGGATATAGCATCCAGGTACAGGGTCCAGGTTGTCCATTCCATGAGGCAAACAAGCTCCACAAATAATATCAAAGAATTTCTCAACTTGTTTTACAATGATTAAAATTATATTTTGATTCAAAGTAAAGGCCAGATGACTATTCTGTGTCCTCTGAGAATACTTTCTGGATAACAAAATTCAATCTTTCGTTTGTGTTTTGTGTTTTAGAAATGTTCAATCTTTTGTTTGTGTTTTGTGCTAGTTGTTTTGTGTTTTAGAAATGGGCAAATCTTCCAAAAGTATACTATCTATTTCCTCTGCCTTAAATCAGAGTATTCTTAAATAATTTTAATCTTTGATGAGTATTTAATGAGAACATAAATTAATTGGTTCTTTGTCCACATGACAGCCTCAGGCTTTGAGATGTATGAGGCTGACATTTCCTCCTTAAATAATCCCAGGCTATTGTGCATTCCGGTTTCTCATATCAATGTTTTCTAATTATTATTTCCCTTTTCATGATTAGATTGATGGATGTCATTGCTGGCATCGTTATTGTACTTATCTCTAATATCAGTTCAATCGACCTAGTATTTACACTGATTCTTTACATCTATTTTCAGAAGCATAGTATAAGAATGTTGATTAAAATTATTTGTAAAGCAAGAGTAATAATGCTGCAGAGTAGGACTTACATGTCTCTGAATAATGTTCATGAGTTTTAAAACATAAACTCCTTTCCTACTTGGCATTCAGTGTCCCACATAGGACATCAGTAAGACTTACTCTGAACGTGAACACACTCCTGCAGAGGATAATTCCTGGAGATACACTGATTCTGAGCTCCCGACAGCAGGTCCTGACCCCCAAGGCTGATCGTATTTCCTGTGTATGGGTGCTTATAGAATTGTTTCTTTATGTCAGGAAATATAACTGTAATAGTAATTCTAGTTGTGATTACTTGATTGATGTTTGCATCCTCCAGGAGACTGTAAACCTCAAGAATGTAAGAACCATGACTAGCTTTGTGCACCATTCTGTGCCCAGTACCCAGTATTGTAAGTGCTTAACATTCTTTGATGCCCATTCATGTTGTGGTAATGACCGAAGGACACAATTCTGGGTGAGTGCGGAGCCCAGAATTCTTGTTGCACTGGAGCTGTCTTAGGCGATCTTGACAGAACATACAACCTCTTCTAATTACAACATTTGCAAGGGGGCCAATTAGTGTTCCTCTAGTTTTTGGTTTCTATTCTATTCAAATGCAAGGAAAGGAAGACAAGAATAGGAAGTGGCCCAGTGGGAAACCAGAGGGGAGGCAGTACCAAAGGGTTGGGAACCTTCAGGACAACAGGAAAGGGTCCTGGTTCTGAGAAACATGATTCCTTTGAATTGATGTACCTTCTGGAAAAAATTATGAAAGGAAAGAGTTTCTCACTGAAACACTTTCTTCCCTTTTTACATCCTTTTTTTTTTTTTTTTTTTTTTGTCTTTATGAGACAGGGTTTCACTGTGCAGTTCAGGCTGGTCTTAAACTCACTTTGTAGCTCAGGCTGGCCTCGAATTTGCGGGGATCTTCCTCCCTCAGCCTCCCCAGTGCTGGGATTACAGGCATGCACCATCACATCTAGCCGTACATCCTTTTCTTAAATCCTCACATCAACCACCACCACCACCATCCCCATGCCAACACCTTCAACAAATCAGAGTCATGTTGTCTCCTGTTCTGTCTTGACTCCCAAATATTGGAACAAACTCATATATATATA